ATGCTTCAACTACAATTTTGCAAATCAATATTGCTAGATAGGGGTGTCACGAGATAGTGTGTAGTGTCTGTCATACAAAAATATATATGTTTATATATATATTTAATGATCATGTTTTCGTCTTATGATACAGGTAGTCTCAGGTACTAGAGTTTTTGTGAAACTTTGGTATTACTACTACTGCTGCTGGAGTTGCTGCTGCTGCTGTTGCTATCTACTACCTACTGCCTACTTCTTCTCATTCTTCTTCTTCTTCTACACTTCCTCATTTTTCCATTCAATCTTCTGCTTCTTCTCCTCCTCCTTCTTGTTCTGGTTCTCCTCCTCCTCCTTCTTGTTCTTGTTCTTCTTCTTCATCATCACCATCTTGTTCTTGTTCTTGTTCTTCTCGTTCTTCTTCTTCTTCTATTCGTCATCATCATCATCATCTTCTTCTGCTTCTTCTTCTTCTTCTTCTTCTTCTTCTTCTTCTTCTTCTTCTTCTTCTTCTTCTTCTTCTTCTTCTTCTTCTTCTTCTTCTTCTTCTTCTTCTTCTTCTTCTTCTTCATCATCGTTTTATTCTTCTTTTTCTCCTCCTCCTCCTACTTCTTCTGCTTCTTCTTCTTTTTCTTCTTCTGTTTTCTTTTTCACCTGACTTCGTATGAGACTCTTGATTTTTTTCTTCCTTTAACCCATCTCCTCCTCCTTCTGCTCAGCCTCCTCCTTCTTCTATTCGTCGTCCTTCTCTTCCTCCTTTTTTTCTTCTATTCCTCCTCCTCCCCACAGCCCTGCTGCTACAATATCTACACTTTTCGGCTTAACACATTGGAAGTGGGTCTGTTTTTTTTTTTTCTTTCTCCAAATCACGCACGGGAACAAGATTTGGGCACATTAGCACCAGTTTTTGTGACGCTTGACGCCCGGTTCTCTAGCGTAGTTGGCTAAACCGGATTGCGCGGTGATCAGGTAACGAACTCCTTATGGTCCGGTTTACTTCCGGGGGCATGCAGAAAAGCCACATTTCTACCAGATTTATTGTATTTACAATGGAATCCAGTCCGAAAGGTTGTGATATCCACAATACCGAGCCAAAGGGTTAACAACTCATGGCTTTCTGGATACTAAAACAAACAAACAAACGTGACGCATGACCGACAGACAAAAGAGACACCTTCCCGTCCGCGCTGCGCCGGAGGAGTGTGTACGTTCAAGAATGCATGATGTGCAATGGCGGCCTCGAATATGATAAGGTCACTAAATATCCGTTCAATTGACGATGGAATTAAACACTAGCATATATTGGTTGTTTGTTGGTTCAGCTCGACAGTTTAACATTTAGTAGTTTGCCATAGCTGTCTGCACTGTCGATTCTCACACCACTCCCGACACCAACACCAATCAGTCTGCCACATTACAGCGTCTCAATCGAACTGGTATGTCGGAATTACGAAATAGCATCAGTGGTTTATAAAACTGATAAACATCATGACACAAGGGTGGTAGTAACCCATAAGCGCTCCATTCTACTTCTAACTCAAACATGAGTCCAAAAAATCTCAGCGCAGTGCACAAACTCCGTAGCACCAGTTGTAAGCTTGTCAGTGCGAGACGTCACAGCAACCGTGTCTATGCCGTGACCAGGATGCAAACAGCATTCACAACAAGTCAGCCACAAACGCCGACCCACATATGATAGATTCAGTTTGACCAACAGTCGTATATCGAACCAACAGCCTAGAAATCACAGTTTGGAAACCGCTGATAGATATCTTCTTAGGTCGGAGTAATCAAGGCAGCATGAAAACACAGTCGCCATGCTGTTGATGTCGTGCGGCGCAGATTCAGAAATCTCCGCACACAGCCCGTCAATCATCCATCGATTGCTGCCTCCAAGGTCGTCTGCTAGAGGCGTCTGTGAATAGGGCAAGTTTGTTTATGTAGGAGAATGCTCTTGTTTCCTAACAGCGTGAATATTTGCTTCAAATCTTCCTGTTTCAGATTAACGCCGACATTTTGGGGTTCAGCCTCGCATGGAGCTCAAGAGAATGTCACAAACTGGCTTTGATAAAGCGCGTTGGTGGCTTGGCTGTAGCGCGCTTTATCATGGATGCTTTGGATGTAGTGCGCTTCTTTTTCGTCTTCCTTCCTCTTCTTCAACTCCATCCCTGTCTCCTCATCCTCCTCCTCCTTATTCTTCTCTGCATTCTCCTCTAAAATGGTGGTTGGTGCCTGGTGATGTTGTTTCAGCTAGGCTGCGGTATCGTCCTAGCTGTAGCGTGCTTTCCAGTTGTAGATGTTTGCAAGCTCTCTAAAGATGCTATCGATATACTGTACTTTCCAGTGCTTTCAGATGATGGGCAAAAGTAGTTTACTTTGTAATGATTACATAGATATGGGCGCTTTCCTGTCATCGCGTAGATATAGGGCGCTTTCATGTTGTGGCGAGATATAGGGCACATTCATGTTAAGGTGTAGATATAGCGCGCTTTTATGTTATGGCGTAGATATAGCGTGCTTTCATGTTATCAAAAACAGTAAAATCTGTAAAACAGATGTGCACGCAACAGTCAGGTTGTGGAACAGTTTTAAAGAACCCCCCCCCCCCCTCCCCCCGGTGTACAATCAAGGAACGCAAAGAAGAAGTTGGATTGTGAAAATAAATTTATATATATATATATATAGAAAACTAGCTGAAGTCCCAGCAAAGCGAACAGCATACACAAGCATTAAGTGCATAAGACATCCACCAGAAGTGCCAATACGACAATCCGAGAATAGAGTTGCAATCGATGGAATTAGCAGTTGCAACTAATCAGCATTTGCAACTAATCTGCAGTTGCACACACAAAATTGCATAATGCACAGCTAGTTCTGTGACAACAGGCTATCTGCAATTATCCAATGTTGTGCAAACCACCTTTGCCACTGACGACGAGCATTTTTGGGTCTAAACAAAATGAACAGCTCACAGTGTCGCATCATACACTCAGCTCAGTAGCTGGGCGACGGAACAATGTGGCTTCATAGCTAAAAATGAAACCGCTTGATTTTGGGATACCCGGCTTAGAATCTTTTAGAAGATCATGGCTACGTTTAAGGGTCAGAATAACAATACTAATCTGCAGAGTTTGTGGCGAGTTGAGCTGCGTTGAGTTGAGAACCAATATCACAATCCTTGGGACGTTCCCATAAGCGATCAGTCTCAGCATCAGCTAAGGTTTCAATGCCGATGATAACAATTGTATTCTAATTATATATCCAGGATATATTTGGTCAAAATACCGTGTATTTGGTCAAAGTCACAGTGTATGTGCAGGACACATTTGGTCAAATTCACAGTGTTTGTGCAGGATACACTTGGTGAAAGTGACAGTCTCTGTGGAAGATACATTTGGTCAAATTCACAGTGTTTGTGCAGGATACACTTGGTGAAAGTAACAGTGTATGTGTAGACACACTTCGACAAAGTCACCGTGTATGTGCAGGACACACTTGATCAAAGTCACCGTGTATGTGCAGCCACACTTTGACAAAGTCACCGTGTATGTGCAGCCACACTTTGACAAAGTCACCGTGTATGTGCAGCCACACTTTGACAAAGTCACCGTGTATGTGCAGGACACACTTGATCAAAGTCACCGTGTATGTGTAGCCACACTTTGACAAAGTCACTGTATGTGCAGCCACACTTTGACAAAGTCACCGTGTATGTGCAGCCACACTTTGACAAAGTCACCGTGTATGTGCAGCCACACTTTGACAAAGTCACCGTGTATGTGCAGCCACACTTTGACAAAGTCACCGTGTATGTGCAGGACACACTTTGATCAAAGTCACCGTGTATGTGTGCACCGTGTATGTGCAGCCACACTTTGACAAAGTCACCGTGTATGTGCAGCCACACTTTGACAAAGTCACCGTGTATGTGCAGCCACACTTTGACAAAGTCACCGTGTATGTGCAGCCACACTTTGACAAAGTCACCGTGTATGTGCAGGACACACTTGATCAAAGTCACCGTGTATGTGCAGCCACACTTTGACTTATGAGCCACACTTTTGACAAAGTCACCGTGTATGTGCAGCCACACTTTGACAAAAGTCACCGTGTATGTGCAGCCACACTTTGACAAAGTCACCGTGTATGTGCAGCCACACTTTGACAAAGTCACCGTGTATGTGCAGCCACACTTTGACAAAGTCACCGTGTATGTGTAGCCACACTTTGACAAAGTCACCGTGTATGTGTAGCCACACTTGACAAAGTCACCGTGTGTATGTGCAGCCACACTTTGACAAGTCACCGTGTATGTGCAGCCACACTTTGACAAAGTCACCGTGTATGTGCAGCCACACTTTGACAAAGTCACCGTGTATGTGCAGCCACACTTTGACAAAGTCACACTGACAAAGTATGTGTGTAGCCACACTTTGACAAAGTCACCGTGTATGTGTAGCCACACTTTGACAAAGTCACCGTGTATGTGCAGCCACACTTTGACAAAGTCACCGTGTATGTGCAGCCACACTTTGACAAAGTCACCGTGTATGTGTAGCCACACTTTGACAAAGTCACTGTGTATGTGCAGCCACACTTTGACAAAGTCGCCGTGTATGTGCAGCCACACTTTGACAAAGTCACCGTGTAACGTTTGCTATTCTGCCCCGAGTTGTAAGGATGCCTTGCGTTTGTGATTAGTCTCTCTTTGATCTACGCTAAGTTGTAGATGTGTTTTGGTATAATGATAAATCTACTCTTTGTAGAGCTACTTTGTTTAGATCCACAGTCTGCCCCATCTACTTGTAGGTCTAGAGGTAAACTGCGTTTATGATCAGTCTCGTTCGTTCAGTATGAAAATCCGCAGCCCCTTACGGCATTGTTGAGTTCTTTCGCCTTACACCAGAGAAGAAGAGACAAATTAGTGAGATGGGAGTATGAAAGTTATGATAATTAAATTCACTACGAATGTGATTTCCTAGCACGGTTTACCTATGTTTTCGTGTGTGTGTGTCCCTGTACAGACAACCGATAAGCTGCGACGCCATCTGGCTGAAGCCATCGCCCGATGCTGCAACTGGGGAAACAACCGCATAGCTTTCGGGAAAGAGCGAGCGGTGGCTCCTCTAGTGAGGTACCTGAAGTCCAAAGATGAGAACGTACACCGCTCCACAGCCCGGGCCTTGTTCCAGTTGTCTAAGAATCCTGAGAACTGTATCACCATGCATGAGGCGGGCGTTGTCAAGGTAGGTTTTGGCCTTGTGTGTGTAACACTGCTGGATCACTGTGTTTGTCTAGTGGTGTCGTTGTCGACTAAAATGTGACGTGTTGCTGCTGTTGTTATTGTCTTATTCCCCTCTTCATCCTTGTTGCCGCTTCTCCTCCTTGATCTTTTTCGTCTTCTGTTTCTCTTCATCCTCTATCTTCTTCTTACACCTTTCGTGTTCTTTGACCAACTCATCCCCACCCTGTGCATACTTACTTGTTAATAACTGGTGGATTTATTTTTCCACTTCATAAGTGTTGGGAATTCGCAGTTGCGTAGCGGCTAGACGCTTGTCAGCGAATCGGAAGGTTGTGGGTTTACTCTCTTGCAAAGCCGGACATTTTTTTAGAAAATGATTTTCATTCCCAGGTCGACCCAACTTTGAGTGGGTACCAGGTGCAGTCATGGGAAGTAAAGGTGGCCGGCTTGATGCTGACCAGATCACCCATTTTGTTCCGTTGGTCTATAAAATATAGGTCTAGCCCTATATACCCAATACGCCTGAAAGCCGTGGAAAAGGATCCTTTTCTTTACTATAAGTGTTGGGATAGCCTGCCTCAGCCGGGCATTTCTCATTCAGACCCCCCCCCCTCCCCTTTTTTTTTCCACACACACACACCTTTTCCCCGTCAGTGGTCACTAGAGGTCGAAATGTCTCCCCGTCAGTGGTCACTAGAGGTCGAAATGTCTCCCCGTCAGTGGTCACTAGAGGTCGAAATGTCTCCCCGTCAATGGTCACTAGAGGTCGAAATGTCTCCCCGTCAATGGTCACTAGAGGTCGAAACATCTCCCCGTCAATGGTCACTAGAGGTCGAAATATATCCCCGTCAATGGTCACTAAAGGTCGAAATGTCTCCCCGTCAATGGTCACTAAAGGTCGAAATGTCTCCCCGTCAATGGTCACTAGAGGTCGAAATATATCCCCGTCAATGGTCACTAAAGGTCGAGGTCGAAAGGTGTCTCCCCGTCACTAAAGGTCGAAATGGTCACTAAAATGGTCACTCGAAATGTCTCCCGTCAATGGTCACTAAAGGTCGAAAATATATCCCCGTCAAGGTCACTAGGTCGTCAAACATCTTCCCGTCAATGGTCACGAAATGTCTCCCCGAATGGTCGAAATATATCCCCGTCAATGGTCACTAAAGGTCGAAATGTCTAGGGTTTTAGTAAAACCAAGCTTCAGTAATGTCATATAAAGCATCTATTTTTACTTTGTCAAAAACTTTCTCACAAGATTTCAACAAGCCAGGAATGTCACATACCAGCTTGCTCAAATTTTTAAACACCCTGCTATCCCAATAGAGACAAAAAGACAAATTTATGAATACAATATTTTTACCGACTTCAGATTACCAGTCTCAGACTCAGACATTGAGAAAAATACACAAAAGAAAACTAACCACCTGTGAGATGAGATGTTTGAGAATGGTTGTGAAGAAAACCATAAGAGATCGATTGAGAAACGACATCTTCATAAGAACTGTTGGAACAAAACTCATCATCAAATTTATTGAGAAACAAAAAATAAAATGGTTCGGCCATCTAATGAGAATGAAACCAACGATGCCAGCAGATAGAGCGTACAACCTGAAAATCAAAACATCAAGAGGCAGGGGAAGACTGAGAAGAATATGGATTGAAGGTGTCACTGACACACTGAGACTGCATAACATCACGGCATATCAAGCGACCGAGCGAGCCCTGATCGTCTGATAGACTGCAACGCCTAGCGACATAAGCAGATATTGACAAAAGAAGACAGATGAAATACTTTGTCACGATCGAACGCTTTCAACAACATCGTTCAGCTCGCTTGAATTAAACATTTACAATTCAAAACAGGATCATATAGCAAACATCACAGGCATCCATCTTGTAACCACTTGTTATAGCTAGGATTCGCATCTGTTAGCCGCTTGCATGTATATTCGCACAAATATTGTTTCTGAAGTCACATGAAATCTGAAACACAGCTCATACGTCTTGAGTTTCGTTTATTTCACATCCAAAAATATACCTGCCAAACACGTTTCCTTTAAATAGTTTTGTACCACTTGCTATGACCTTTGTATGCTCACCGTTCGCATAAAGCTTATGATCAGTAACTTTTGTCTCAGTTTTTTTCTACTAATCAGAAAATGGATCAATACATCCTTCTTCAGCTAGCTGAAAATTTACATTTTCATATAATTGTCACATATCACTCCTGTCGCGTGCCTAATGTAAGGATTTCTCCTTCAGAACCAACAGCACTCAGAGATAATTATGTTGAGTCGTTTGGCTCGTATTGGTCTAAGGGATTCCCCGTGGCCAATATACGCTCAACTTATCTCTGGAGTAGGGCAACTCAAGTTTTGGCACTACAAAATATGTCAGTATATGAATACAATATTTCTAGGCACACTTGGCTGGACACCCCCACTACTTACTAAAGAAAGCTCCCAGGTTATGATAGTTCATTATCATAACCATGTTAATACATATAATGAAGATACATACATGCACAACTGCTAAACACTTAAAAAGGTGAAATAGAGACACCTAAGTCAGCCATGAAAATGAATGCATGTAATCAGTGTAATATACATATAATAATGAAGTGAATTCCAGCTATCAGTGGAAGAATCTCAGAATATAATGTCTAGATACCAAAGATACTACACAGACATCAGGTCTTGGAGATGACTCTATGTCATCATTGGGAAACATAGGAGCTGTGAGGCACAAAGCAAATCAGGCATCAAACTTAGCTTCTCTTCTTTCTGTCTATGATGCCTCCCTCAGCTCCGGATGATTCGACTGTCTTTGACTCTGAGAATTCTGCTCCACTGGATCAAGTGGTAAGATAGTACCTCACCATAGAGGACACAGCACTGTACTGGTACTTAGCAAGTCTATATCACCAGTTAGGACACACATTGTCTTTGAGCTCCACTAAGCTCTAGCACTGGTAGGCTGTTTGAGTTATAAGCTCAACACATATTGATGATGCCCAGGAACCTTTACAGGTGTCAGCTGGTGGGTGGTTGGTTTGTGGTTAGTTTATTTATGGTTGGTGGGTGTTGGTTGGACTGTGAAACTTCTGCCAGCTCCTCACAAAGGATTTTATCCTGTCAAGAAAATAACTCAGAATTAGTCATCACCAAGAGGG